GAGAGAGAGAGAGAGAGAGAGAGAGAGAGAGAGAGAGAGAGAGAGAGAGAGAGAGAGAGAGAGAGAGAGGTGGCGAAAGGAGGTTGGTACGTATCACACACACTCGCGCAATTAATCACAAAGAAAGCGAGACATGAAGGACCAACGCATTCATGCTCTCATGCAAGCAATCGACACTCGATGCTTCCGCTCATCAGGCCCATAGGCACATACACACACGCATACCCGTAGAGCCTTCAATGAAACATTCAACATCCATAGACTTTCATACCCGACATGCATAACAAATAACCCAAGCTTTGGAGTCATGCACACATCACACGGGGACAAAGCAGCAATGGAGAAAAAGCTTCGTCTTAAAAATACAAAATCCTCTCAACTGGCCACTCCGGGCCCAGTCCCCAATCCATCAAACCACCGACAACCATAACCACAAGGCCCTGCCGCGGTCGGCGTCTGATCTCCACCACCGCTCAGTCACATCGAAATTGTTTATCGAATTTCAAATCAAAAATAAAAATTTAAAATATTTTTATTATTTTTATTATTTTTATTATTTTTATTATTTTTATTTTTTTTGCCCGGCCGGGCAAGTGACCCCGGGCCACTCTGGTAGCCTAGCATATGACTATAGAATGATTTTTTATTTCTTATTTTATTTTTATTTTTTTATTTTATTTTATACATAGTGCGTTTGGCCTCGCGATCTTTGTAATTAGAGACAGAAGAAGAAGAAGAAGAAGATAGGGGGAAAAGGATCAAAGGAAATGATCGATCTCGATATTAAGAGGGGGAGTAAGAGGAGGAAGAAAGGCTGCCAGCTCAGCCGGAGTCGTGGGCGCCTCCACTTCGTTGAAGTGGTGTTGGACAAATGAGGGATAGAGAAACGCCCCCGGAAGAGGAGGAAGATAGCAATACACGTGGCGCAAGATCCGCAATACCCCGTATGACCCCTCACCGCACCGTGTGATTCTCGGGACCCATCATCAGCAGATGGGTCCCGGTATACGGCCTTCGCTCCCTCCTGAGCACCGCGATGACAAGGAAATGGTACATTACATTCGGCCGCTGGCCGACCTCGTACATGAGCGTTCCAGCTAGTCTGGTCGTGACGCTCCTTCAAATGGCCGCTCCAGATATGGCTCCCATGCAAGATCAGGACGCGGACCCCCCTCGATTGCTTCGAGCCTAATGGTTGGAGGCTCCACCATGAACGCGACATCCGTCAGGTGGACCGTCCGGCTCGGAGGAACTGCTAAGGTCAATGATCGGGGCACCCCTGGGTGGCTGGAGGAAACGGAAAGGTCCTGCGAGGATGGGGTGTCCGGGTGCGAGATATGGTACTCTTCCCACTCCTCCTCCTGCTGGTGCTGATGGGCCGGCTCCATCAAGATTGAGGTCGGGAAGGAACGGCGGCTGAGGTGTCGGCTCCGGAGGGTTCCCGTGTATCCGAAATCTGCTTGTTTCTGCCCCTTCCCCTGGCGGAGGTCCCTCGATCGGTGTCGCCTTGTTCTCTGGAACAGGATCTAGCTTCCGCAGCCGCCCGACCTGGTTGACCTCTTCTTCGGGTCCCACTCGGCTTCCTTGCGCTTTAGGCGATGGCTGGCGGCGTCTCTTCTTGGGCGTTTTCCTGAGGGCCCTCGGGGCTACTAGCTTGGGGTAGGATGAGGGAGGCCGCAGTGACTTCCAATCGGCAATGCTCACCACCTTTTCCCCCTCCTGGTCGATATAGTCCGGTACCACTGCCGAGTGGTAAGATCGACGCGGAGCCGATGCTGTTTGCATGCGGAGTTGGAGATCCTCTTCTTTGCTTGCGATCACTTGCGCGATAGACAACAACTCGATATGAATGAGCTCCAGTAGCCCGCCTGCTCGTCCCGATCTCCCCGAACGGGTATTATGCCACCGTGCCCTCCTTCTTCTTCGGCTTGGGTCGCGAGATGACGTAGTACACCCACAGGTTCTCGACGATGTTGTGATCGTCCTACGACACGGCAAACCGGAACATGCCCAACACCACCGATTGATACAGCGCGCGGTGCAATTCCCAAGCGTCCTCCTCAGCTTGCGGCAACGGCTCCACGTCGTCCAGCTCCACCAGGTACTCGAGGAAATTGCGCATGGGTAGGGGTTTTCCGTGAGTTGATAGGGGAGGGTGGTGTAAGAAAAGAAAGGAGGCATTTAGTATGAGGGAGCGAGGATAGCTTGGATGTTTAAAGGATCAGCGGGGGGGAGAAGCGCGAGCAATTGAGGCGCAAGTGCCAATGCTCCGTCCGACGCCTGTCGCAGCAACGTGTGATATGGCGTGAATCGATGGCCCCTTCCCTGCACTCGCGCCACCGATCTCGCTACCTACACCGCATACTCTCGCAAAAGGTTCCACACCGGTTCTCAATGGTGATTGCCTAAGAGCGTCAAATCGCCGATGAACGTGGCGACACTGTGCACGAAGTTGGCAGCCACCTGGAGCGCGGGGAACTCAATGAACACCCTGGTGGTTTCCCGACTAGGCAGCTGCGTGACGTCCACGTACACCCCCGCGTAGGTTACTCGTTCGCTCAAGAGCGGGTACGTGGCGAGATCTGCGATGCTGGGCCCGGGCACGTTCACCTGCTGGACGTCGTACCGCAACTGTCGATCATCATTAAATCGATGCCTCAATAAGTGATCCGCGATCCGCGGTTGGAAATGCTCAACTGACTCATTCCCCTGCTGGTGCTGTCTCATCCTGCGCGATGGAGGCTTCAACCTCAAACGGCGAAGTCGATTGGAAGGAGGAAGAAGACAAAGTAAGCGAGGACGAGGAAGCAGAGGGAGAAAGTTGGGGCCTGAGCCCTCTCGTGATCCAGCGATGGCTGGAATGGACGAAGGGCAGCAGCTGGCAAGTCAACAGCCTGGCCTGTGCGCTTTGCCGGGGGATCAGCTTCACAGAGTGCTGGCCTTGCGCGCCAACTTTCGTCACCTCGTAAATGCCTGTATAGCGAGGGTGGATCTTGGAGGAGCGCGCGGATTTCCATACTTGCACTAGATCCCCGATCTTATAGCGGGGCAGCGGACCAGCGGGGGCATGTCGGTTCTCGTAATCTCTGACCTGCCGCTGGTGCGTCAGATCCACGACCCTCTGTCGCCTTCGGGCTAACGCGGGGTAGGTCCTAGCCATCAGATCTATGTAATGTTGGGCCTTTTCTTGGTGTTGAGCCCGGGTCGCTCTAACTTCCATACCCACTAGAGGTGACAACTACACTCGGGGGATACTATTGGTTCGCAGTTGAAATGGGGACACCCCTGTACTGTCGTGTGAGGTAGCCCGATAGACGGCCAGTATGTGGTCAACTATGACAGGCCAGGGCCTGGTATCTCCTGGAGTGATGTTCCGTCTAAGGGCGGTCTTAATCATTCGATTGGCGTTTTCCATGAGCCCGTGGGCCCGTGGCCAGTACCCTGGTGAGTACAAAATCTTAACGTCGGCCTTTACGAGATGTCGCTCTACCTCCCCTTGGAATTTCAACTCGTTATCCATGTGGACCTCTTCTACGTCCAAATGCGTGCACAAAAAGGGATTAATATACCAAGCTACTTCCTGCGAGTTCCGACTAGTCATAGGATAGGCCTTGATCCATTTGGAGAAATGATCGACGACCACTAGAAGGACATTAAGCTCACCCTGATCGACGTGACCTTTCGGTACACTAATATCCGTCCTATCGATGCTAACTCGTTGGAAGGGGTGTTCTACTCTGGTTGGTACCATCGTTCGTGGCATCTGTACCGGCGCCTTATCGGCCGCACAGGCCAGGCAGTTCTGGACGATGTATTTGAGATCCTCCTGAATTCCTGACCAATACCATCTGTTTTTCTCTATAGCTTTTTCCGTGTATTTGACCGTGAAATGGACCGCATCCTCTTCGTGGGCAGCTCGTGTCCAATCAAACCTAGCGAGAGGGTGTGGAACCGTCATCCAACTAGACCCGCTATTGTCATTGTCTTTCCGTTTCTGCAAGGCTGATTCCTGCCAACGATAATCATGAGCTCGCTCCGTGACTCGTCGACGTTCGGCCTTGAGCTCCGTCAACGGGTCTCCCTTGAGTATTCTCAACAGGAGGAGATCCGTCCAGACCTCTGCTCTACGGACACTTGGCAAGAATCCGTTTTCTGTCCTAGACTCTATATACCAATTTTCTGTAGGTACTTGGTATGTTTGACAGTTGGGACAGTTCCACTTCTTCTCGCTCCGACACCTAACGCAATATCCGTGAGACCAGATCATGCGGCACTGGCTGCATCGTACCCATGAGATAAAACTAGGTCCTCCGGGGTGTGAGTCCCCCCGGTCCGATATCATAGGCAAGGTGCAGAAAAAACAGGAATGCACGTATAGGCTAGGGGGAAAGTGAATGGTAGACGGGTAGGTCGAAGAGCCTGGGGAAGATGGCGGGGTTGTTGTCGCTTCAAGAGGGCATTGCTTCCTTTGCGGATGACGTGTACTTCTCCGTAGTGAGGCTCCGTCAGGGGCGAAGCTTCATTCCACGGAATGAGTCGTTCGTTCGTTGGGCACTTCTTAGGTGGCTGGAGGCGAGTCAGTCTGTCTGCGTTTCCGTGCTGCTTGGTCGCGCGGTGGCGGATGTCGAAATCGTAGTCTTGCAACCTTACTGCCCACCTTCCCAAGGTTCCCGTATAATCTGTGTTGTTCCGTAAGGACAACAACGACCGATGATCCATCACGAGAACGAACTTCTGGTCGTGGAGATACGGTCGAAAGTGCTGGATTCCCCACACCACCACCAAACATTCACCCTTGCAGGCTTCGTAATTTGCCTGTGCTTGGCTCAGTGTCTTTGACGCGTATTCGATAACGTGCTCCTTCCCGTCTGTTTCCTGCTGAGTCAGCACCGCCGATATCGCCTGCGGCTATCAATCGGTGTGCAAAGCGAACGGTTTCGTCGGATCTGGGCGCGCCAGGATCGATGCAGTAGTCAAGGCCTTTTTGAGCGCCCGAAAAGTCGCCTCGCACTCCGGCGTTCAGATCAATTGTTCTTCTTTCTTCAGTAAGTTGGTCAGAGGTTTGGCAACGCGAGCAAACCCTTGGATGAACCGTTGATAATATGAGGCTAGGCCGAGGAAGGCTCGAACTTGAGTGAGCGTGACAGGCACCGGTGCTTCTTGCACCGCTGACACTTTCCTTGGATCCGGTTTCAAGCCATCCACCGTGACGACATATCCCAAGAAGGAGATTTCCGAGAGGAAAAACTCGCTTTTCTCCAAGGCTACTTTGAACCCCGCGTCTTTTAAGCATGCAAAACCCACTCAACATGTTCCACATGGTACTCGTATGTTTTGGAAAAAAACAAGATATCATCCATATACACAATCACACAAAAATTTACCAGTGGTTGGGTCAGGCGGGTTTTGTTAACAAATTCTGCGAAAGCCATATACATGGCTCACTGGATTCTCGCGGGTGCGTTGCATATTCCCATAGAACATCTTATCCACTGCCACGTGCCTTCAAACAAGACAAATTCCGTTTTGGGCCTATCTTTCGGTTGTACTGCGACATGGTGGAAACTGTGTCGGATATCGGATTTCGAGAAAACTCGCGCAGAGCCGATGGCATCCAAAAGGTCGTCGATACGGGGTAATGGATAAACGTCCTTGGTGGTTATTGCGTTGAATTTTCGTAGTCAATGCAAACACGGACCGCCCCGTTTCGTTTCGGCACGAGGACCACCGGGAACGACCAGGGACCCAGGGAGGGCTCCACCCACCCTAGACGCTCGAACTCCCGTACCCTTTCCAGGGCTAGCTGTTGTTCTTTTAACGAGTATTGCTACGATCGACAGTGTATTGGGGCGTAGTCACCAGTATCAGGTGCGTCAGTTTTATATCATGGTCTTGAATACTGACCGCCTCGGGGTAAGCCTGTATTACCGCAAGGAGGCGGCGTCAATATTCATTGGGTACATGAGCAGGAATCTGAATGTCGATGCTCCTGCTAGGAAGGGAGACCGTTGATGTGACAGTTGGGAACCGAGCGGTTTCCTCTGGGGAAGCTCCAAACAGGGAGTTGTCGGCTTTTACCGAGTGTATGGTGACTATGAGTTGACAATCTGCCGAAGTGACCGATTCATTTTCCGTTTCGGTTTCTCCATCAATTTCAGCTTCGACCGAGGGTTCCACTGAAAAGGACTGCAAGAGTTCTCTCGGGCCCCTTCAGGGGTCGCGGGCTGAAACGCTACCCCTTCGTCCAAAAGCACGGCGACCTTGGCGTCTGTGAGTAGGGGTTGCGGGGGCCTAAAAGATAGGTCGCATAGCCCCTTAAGCTCAACAAATCTCTTCGGGAAGGGGTCCGTTCTAAGATACAGGGACGCAGGGGGTTCCAAGAGGTCAATTATTCGTGACACCCTCAACAATGGTTCCCCTGTCACAGTAGAGAAGAACCGCTGGCCCCTACTAGACTCAGTCTGGCTAACATTTGTCGACACGTGTCGCCACAGTTGGTGGAACCGATCTTGGATTCGTATCGGATACCGGTCGGGTTCGTCTGCATCCTCAGCTCCTGTCGTGGGTCTTTCTTCGCCTCTTGACACCCATCAAACCATGTTGACTCTGCGAACCTCGGTGGAAATGCGAGGGGCGGGCTGTGCATGTACACGCACGACCATTCTCATGGGTATCGTTTGGCGCTTAGGGTGGGATGAGGTGATCACTATCTTAGAACTGTCAAAATGCATCCGCGCGCCTACCACCGCCTACCACGGGATTCCTTGGAGCACATCATACGCCTGCACATCCAACACAATCGCGTCACACAAACAATGCACCCGCCCGACTCTTATAGGAACATCCATAATCCATCCTTTACAGTGAATACTATCTTCTGTGGCGGATACATACAGCTCGTCCGGCCGGAGGGGCTGAATTTGTTTCTCCCGACCCAAACGTTTCGTCAAGCTCCAAGAGATAGCTACGGCCAACGATCCCAAATTCAGGATGGCGGCCGAGGGACTTCCCCATACCTCACAATCACACTCGACACTTTTCCACGTAATCGGGTACGCCCGAAGAAATACCTCGGGTTTCTCCAGTGGTGGATCCACGGCGTGGATCATCCCGACTCGGTAGGCCTCGTGAGTTTTCGAGGTGGAGGGTTGAGCTTCGATATCCACCGACGAGTCGTGGATTGCCAACTTTTTACCCCTTCGGCCTTCTTCGAACCGGCCACGGTTCTTCACGCATCTTTCACTTTGTTTCTCGTTGGCGGCTTCCGAAATTGTCAGCAAGTAGGGAACAGGTACGGGTATCCGCAGATCCAAGGCCTTCACGGCATCTAGTACGTCGATTTGGCCGTCCTTGTACTCGAGACCTGGTATCGTGGGATCTTCGAACCCGGGTCTCCACGGTCCTAAGTCACTTTCCCCAACAACTCACGGGGTATGGCGGATTACGCCAATGGTCCCAGGTTCAAGCACCGCGGCCGCCATGTATTCATCGATTCCAATTTCTGCGGCCGCTGGGGCCACCAAGTCTGGGGTCCCCGCATCCATGACCGCTGCCACCTGCCCTTGGCCTGCAGCAGTTGGAGCTGCCAACGAGATTTGGGATGGGCCAGCGATTCCCACCTGAGCCCGAGGTCGCGGACAGTCTTTGGCCAAGTGGCCAGGCTGATTACGATTATAGCATCGCATAGGCTGCGTAGCTCCGACCACGACATGCCGAGGTAACGTCGCTCCAGCGGTCGTGACCACTGGCTGTCTCTGGGCCACTGCCGCGGCAGTGCCGCCCTTTGCCTCTGCCAACTCTGAACGAGCTCAATTAAAGGTGCCACAACCGTCACAAGTTGTGCAACTATCTCTTTCATCGAGGGTTCATCTACTTCCCGTCCTCCTTGCGTCGATATAGGGCACCGGGAGCCCGAGGAAGAAGATGGGGCCCTCCGATCCGGGTTTTTCTTGGCTGGTCCTAACCCGAAGCGGTCTTCGAACATCCGAGCAGTAGCGGAATAGCTATAGCGTCAGACACCCGATGGGTCGCCTTCGTCAGATTCCAAGTCCAACCCCACATCGTAATTTTTTCCCCATACTTGATAGCATACTGGATTAGCTCAGTCAAGGTATGCTCAATTGGGTTGCATTTCTTACGGATCTTTTTTCGCAGCCGGGAATCAGATAATCCCCGGACGAAATCGATTTGCACCATTTTCTCATCACCCCCAGAGCGTTCGGCCAAGTAGGTGAAGCGCTCCGCGCACCTCGCCAGAGTTTCTCGAGGCTGTTGAGTGTATTCGTTGATTAGGCGTAAACATTGTCCCAACGCGATGTGATCAAAGCATTCGAGAAATTTTCTCTAGAAAATGGGTCAGTTGGTACAGGCGTTTTGTCCATACCATTCGAACGCGGTCCCTGCCTACCTTCCTGGGATCCGTTCCCGAAGTAATTGGTTCGTCCAGCAAGGCGCGAAGCACTGCAAAAAGGTCAAAGCACCCTATGAGGACGTAGCATGTACAATTTTTTGGAAAAACTTGGGCCTTCAGGGCCGCCAGCCAAGTACGTGGGTCCATTTCGTCTTCAGAGAAGATGGGAACTTCCGAAGGTGGAGGGACAAAGTACAGGGGGCGGTCAGCCATCCCAACATGCTTATCTACTCCCTGTCCTGGTTCCACCATGACGCGGGGTTGGTTTCGCCCCCGCCCCTTTGGCTGGTTATGATTGGCATTCGAGGTCCGGTGGCATCGGGGCGCCAGCCTATCCGTAATTAAAACAAGGCAAAGAAGAAAAGAGGGGGAAAAAGAAAAATAAATTTACGAAACGAGTAGCAGATCGTAACAAAAATGGACAGCCGTCCCAAGAGGGGACCTTGGAGCCGAAGAAAATCAGCTTTGATACCAACCTCACAGCCCACGCCGCGTTCCGTCCTTTGGCCGCCGATCAGAGTTATTAGGGGTGTGGCCGATGATTTTTGGCCGTGGGGGTTGAGTCATCTGAACGAAATGAGGAACTCTTGCTTCGACCTGAGGTGCCTGGGCGGGGATTAGGCTGTCACCGAAGGCGGAGGATGGGAGGAGGATGGTCTCCTACGGCCCAACCGTCATCCTTTTTCGAAAAAAGAAAAAATAAAGACGAGAGGAGAGGAGACAAGAAACAAAGCGGACGCGTGGCCCTTGGAGGTGGAGGCCCCGGAAACAGGTTCAGGCTTCATTGTTGGACTCGTCTAGCGGACGGCGCAGCACGGGCTTGCCAAGGGTCGGACAGGTTGACGGAACCCGGGTTCGAAAATGGGCGGGAAGCGCACCCGCGTTACGGGAGAGTTCGGGGAACCGGGTAGCCCCTTCATACCGCAGGACCAACCGTCGCCACGAGCACGAGTCTCCCTGGCGACACCAATGGCAATTAAACCACGGCCGCCAGGTGGCATGCACAACGGATCAGGGCAACACCGTGAGGTCGGTGTACGACAAAATTAAAGGTGGGGAAGCAAATCACTCAATCAGCACAAATCCACTCCCGCTTATATGGCACGCCTAGGTCGGGTTATAAAGGTGGATTGGCTTAGTGCGCCGCAACAGGCTCCGCACGTCCGCATCGCAGTATATGCCGTCGTCGTCTGCGATCGGGAAGGGCGGAAGCGCGCTGCGACGCTCTGAGGCAAGGTTCGAGCTCGGGCCAAGACCCGTGCTCCCGTCCGTCGAGACAAAACCTGACTCCATGCAAAGATCAACGAATGCCGCCAAAGAAGGATGCGCCCAACTCTCTTTCTTCGTCTCTTCTCTGTATCATCAATCTCAACGAGGTGTCGGGCACCTGTGGTGGCTGCTTCGAGAGGACGAGGGTGGCCGATCTCTCTGAAAGTATCCGCCCCCTCTTGGGGTCCCGACCGCCACCGGAAGAGAGAGAGAGAGAGAGAGAGAGAGAGAGAGAGAGAGAGAGAGAGAGAGAGAGAGAGAGAGAGAGAGAGAGAGAGAGAGAGAGAGAG